AAACATCCCAGCGCCGTTTGTCAATTTGAAATTATTCCAGAAAACCTGTAGATGACTGGTTTTTTTTGGGGCGAGACCGTTCCCAGTAACCTCGATCCATTAATTGCAAAATGGGTCGGTCAGTTAAGGCAAAAAACTTCTACTGTGGGGCTACCGCGCTTACTTGGGCACAACTGTCTTCTAAAAGACTCGATGTCTATGTGTATCAACTTCGGGACTGCGGGTGTATTTTGCATACACGCTTCTGTTTTACATGATTGAACAAAAGCAGCTCAATTGAGACACAGAAAACTTTTTAAACTGGTAAGACAAGCCGCCCTTACAGGCATACGCCTGTGCCAGGTCACCACAGATGAAATGCAAGAGAGACCCTAGCCTACGACTATTAATAAACAGCACAAAAATTTTGCCCCGAATTGCCTTGCGCGGTAAACGGAAAGCTTACTGCGCCAATAGAGTCGTTGATATACTTACTTGAGGTAAAACTGATCAAAAGAATTCAACACCAGGTATAATTAACAGCGCAATGAGTCAAGGTGAACGACGAAACTAATTAATCAACTTCAATTGCTCAAATAGTAGTTTCTTCCGGGTTTTCAGTTTGGTTTCTTTTTGTTCATGTCACTTGCTTTTACTTTTATCGAAATTATGAAAAAATATTGTGAAACTCTCAGCTCTTATTAAAAGTCTTGAAAAAATCAAGCTATTTTTTATCTACAGTGCCCAGAAAATTTTTTATTGACACTTGTAATTACGAATAAAAAAGACAGACTGCAACAGTTCTCGCCTTCTCCCAACAACTGTATCATTTGCGCGCGAGGACGATTTCTTTACTCGCTTTTACCAGGCGCAACAGAGCACCCAAAAAGTAACATATCTTAATGCAACGGATCGTATTGTGCGCATGGTGATCTAAAGCGCCCATTGCCGCTGTATGCATCACGACACTGAATATATTATCAACTACTTCTTTGCAACAAAATTTTCAGGGCAGACAGAATGTTACAACCTTTTACAGTGGACTTTTCACCTATTCGTTTTGATGACCCGTCTTTTAATCCGTTCAAAAACACAGACACAAACGGCTATTCTTTTTTTCAACAAAAAATAAAACACTCGTAGAAACGCTAGAAGATGCACAATTGAGCTACTAAGCACTGGCAACGGAACTTAATTCGTCGGCGGCTTGGTTTCTTCAATATACTGGAAACCAATCAATTTCACATGCACCTCAAAAAATGAAACCTTTCATAACCACATGGTGCTGAGTTGATGCTGAGGTGAATGATTCTGAAATATTTGTTCGCCCTCCAGTTTGGTGTTGCGGGGGAGCGACTCGTGCCAATAACAAAACTAGCGTTCCTACTTAGCCTTGTTTCTGACCGACTATCGAAAGACCTTTTTGCTACTGTTGTTGCCGAAAATGAAGCAACTTTTAATTCTCGTCCGCTAGCGCATGTTAGCTGTGAAATCGACGCCTAGGAGCCACAGTGACATCGAGGGCGACCTTTCAAGTCCTCGAAGCGAGCAAAAGTAGTCACGGACGCAACCCGAGGAGTCTATTGAAAAATTTTACCTCCTGAAAAGTTTATACATGACGCATCTGGCCGCTAGCTTGGTTAAAAAAACTTTTTTGTTTTGAAAAAAGCAATAAAATAGAGCAGCATCTGGAGAGTTTTGCTTAAACTCACATTTTAACACCGAAAGAATCTCTAGATTGCAGTATTTTTAAAGGGTCGCCAAAAGCTCCTGTTTTGCGTTGTTCACTTTATCCTGAAATGATTGTGGGTCACTATTATTCACTGACGATAATAAACTCTCAAATTCCGAAGTGATGAGATTTGAGTTGATACGTAGGTTTGAATCAATTTTGATGGTATTCAGATGAATTAAACTATCGACCAAAATCCATCAAAATGATTTAACTTATCATTAGAGACTGCATTTCGGTCAAATTGGGGACTTTATAGTGATTTGAAAGAGCTCAGAAAATCAAATCAGTTGACCTAAAAAAGTCGAGAAAATGTGCGAAGTTTTTTTGAAAATCCGCCCCCTTCCTCTAGAAAATCTTAGATCCGCCCCTGGTTACCCGGGTTGACCAAAACTTCTAATCATACAATTTCCATTTATGAAAAACTTCTTGTCATACAATTCCATACAATATCATACGTACAGAACATTGTATGAAATCTCTATGATAAAGATTTTTCCATAAATGAATATTGTATGATAGGTGTTTTTCCATAAACCAAAAATTTTGATTTTTTCTTTCAAAATTTAGTTTCTGAAAAGTTTTTGGTTGTGTTCGCAACCGAACACAAGTGACAAAGACCTTGGTTACTCAAAACCAAAGGTTGGACGGTCTCGCATATACAATGCAAAGCAAACGACCTGAATTTGGATGTTTTTCACCAGACTTTTGATATAACAAAAGTAACGAACTTTTATTTTTTGGCAAAATTTTTTTATGATGATTATTTTAAATTTTTGAATTTTCAAGTTATCAGACATTGATCAAGGCTTACATTAACACCCCATACAAAAGAAATAGAAATTTTCAGCGTTTTTGAAAAAAAAATTTAAGTGAAAAGAAAATAAAAGCCAATTTTATCGTATCCAGGACTACGTTATGCACACAAAATATTAAATTTTGCATGCAAAAAAAAATTTCGAAAAATGTTTGTTTGCGTACGAAATTCGATTTGCGGTTGAAAAAAAAAACAAAAAATTTTTTGGGCCAAATTTTCAAAATTACTTGAAAAATTTTTTGTGTCGCCATCAAAAAAATGCCAGTCATACAATTCCCATATATGGGAATTGTATGATAAGCATTTTTTTCAAAAAAACGAGAACCTCAGTTTTTATCACCAGACTGTTTTATAAGAATCAAACATCCACAGAAATAAGTTAATACCAGTTTTCAACTATTTTTAGAAATTGTATGAAAATTGTATGACAAGCATTTTTCCATAAACTTGATGTATGGAATTGTATGATAACGATTTTCGGTGTATGGAGGTCAACCCGGGTAGGAAGTATGCGTAACATTAGGGTAAATTAAAATCTACTGCTAATGATTTGAAATCTTGCATCCATCGAGGGTGAACGTCTTTAAATTAGATTAGTTGATGTGTTTACTTTAAGCTCACTTACTTAATATGACCCAACCGGTTGAGTGATTATTTCATAATTCAATTTACTGATATGATAATTTACTGATACATCGATTTGCTACACGCACAATGAACAGTCGTTAGCCTTTTCAATAGGTCTTGCAACTCATTTAAATAGCAAAAATCTAAGAGTACTCACTATGTTTATTACTCTTAAAAAATAACCACCTTGGGTTAAGTAATGTTTCGATTGATTGCGCTCGTAACATAAAAGCATAATTTATAGACCGGAAGAGGTGTCAAGGAAGCTCATGAAAGCAGAGAAAAGATTGTTTTGTCAGAAAGCTGTGTATTTTCTGAATTCGAAAGAATACACATCTTAATGATCTTTCAATTGTTTTTTTTCTTAATTGACACTTTTCTGATGCAAACTGTCCAGTTTACAAAAACTGGATTACAAAGTAATTTTTAACTTATTTCTCCCCCTCGTGTATCTGAAAATTCGCGCCTTTTTCAATTTTGTTAATTTATGAGACCAGAAGCGGATCTAGAATTTTCTCGAGAGGGCAGGATTGTAAAAAACTTAAAGATTTTGATGATCTTAAGTTAGGTCACCCAAACTGGTTGTACCCCAGTATGTCCTTCACTATGTCTTTTATACCCTACTATGTACCTCACTGGGTGGAGTTTGAAGCCCTCCTCCCCATGTAGTACTACAAAACATAAGCAGGGGGGTGGATGTCGTAGCATAGTATCACCGAGGACACCCTTTGGAATAGTTAAATTATACAAAATGAATTATAAAATAAAAAAGCTTTCAACACATTTCAAAACAACTCTGAAAACTTAAGAAAAGGCAACAAGCTGTTGAGAAAGACCAATTAATTGAGAAAATAACCCAAATTAATTTTCAAATTTGCCTTTTTTGTTGTTCCGAACATTGAAAATGGGGAGGAACTTTGTATTCGGGTGTGTTTTAGTTTTTTTCTTTTTGTTTTCTACGCAAAATTAATCAGGTACCACAAATAATCATCGGACTGGGTTGAGTGATATATCATATTGAAGCCCTTTCAGTCGTGATTCAAACCACACTCTAATTTCCGAAATATTATTCTAGGGTTGAAAAAAAACTGGTTTGAAATTATTTGATTTTTTCGTCTTAATTGGGGCGAAAAAAGCAAGCGAGCAGGCTTACAACAGCTGAAATCTACAATTACAATAGCTCAAATCTGCAAATTTGCCTAATTTAGAGTCTTAAAACTTATTTTAAAAGAAGTAAAACGGGTTTTTAAGTTTTTTAGCTTCATTTTTGTAATCAAAAACTTCAAAAAATTAAAAATTATCTGCAAAATTTTTGAAAAAAGAATTTTTAATTTTTTTTGTTTTTCTAGTTATTGTTCTAAAACCTTTTGTCCATTTGCCTATAAAACTATGACTGTCCAATATGTCTAAATCATATATTTACGTCAGATCCTTTTATCACACCAAGTAGAAAAAACTACACTAGTTTGGAATAAAAAAAACTTTCTAAACCGTAGTTTTCTAAAGACTATGGTCGGAACATTCTGTGCTATTTGTTCAGTAACCGGCTATCATTGTTACATTTTGAGAATGTTTTCAGTTTGAAGTCCTAATTTTTCTACTCAACTTAAAGTCCGATGACTTGATGTCCGGCAACATAATTAAACAAAAAAAAAACAAAAAAAAACAAGACGAATTAAAAAATGAAGCTTTTGAAGGCTTGATCTTTGTCATAGTCGATATATGGACAACTTGACTGTCAAAAATACTTCTAATGTTCGATACCTTTGTTCGCCTGTTCGCCCAACCAATGAAAACCCAAGGAAACACCCGGAGAAGCTCGTCTGATCTGATTTAAATATGTACCTGCACATGATGGCGAACTTCTCGCAGTTGTTCCAGACTAGGTCAAAGTCCTGCTCTGGCTCCTCCACCTGGTGCATCGCATAACCCACTATGTCTTTCACTGGGTGGGGGTTGAAGCCCTCCTCCCCATCTAGAGTTTAAAAACATAAGCATGGGGTGCACTCGGTCAGCTGAAGTTTTAAGCTCCTTTTATCAGCATTTCAATCAACTGTTAGCAAATGTGACCGCAAAAGGAACTGCAATTGTCAAAAACAGCGTTCCAAACAAGCATGAGGGCAATTAATTTATCACAGAAGCTCGAAAGTTTCTAATGCTCCCTTGAATCTATCAAAGAAAAGACTTCATCAAAGATCTTTTCAAGATCTTAAGGTTTGTTCAAAACACAAAAATGGTGCAGTTTGAGTTTGAGTACCGAGGTAGTTGTCGGCGTAGTACACATTGCCCTGTGCCACATCCTCTATCTTCGACACCATCACCTGAAACACCAGAAGGAAGAAAACTAACCCCCACCCACATATGCGGGCCGTGCTCACAATTCCCGATTATAATAGATCTGGGATATGAACTAAAAATATTGTTGCTGTGAAATGCTGAGTTGTGGCGAAAAGAAATTCAAGTCTGTTCGGTTATTCAATGTGAGTTATTCTCCGCAATTGACAAATCCGAGCAAATATTCAATTGTCGGCCTATTTTCTCTTCGGCTCAGTGACTACATATGCCCACCTGTACATTCATGGCCATGCCCAGACTCTTGATCATGTTCAGTTCATTGTTCTGTCCGGGTGGGGACAGGTGGACCATCCTGTCTTTGGACACACACACCCCCCAGTGCGAGTAGAGCTTCCTCTCTATTCTGATCATGTCCCCCGGCACTGGCTTCTTTTTCTCCTTACGAGCCATTATGGACCAAGTTTTATTTTCCTGCTGTATCTTTTTGCTAAGGTCTTACATGAAGCAAAACTTTTATGCAATTTGCGTAGTTTCTGTTTTTTTTTCTGCAAGTTGGTTAGTGAATAAGAGAGAAACTGAAAAGTTGCGTAACCTTTGATTCAGAAGAGACCATCAAGTCATTTATGTTTTGACTGACTTCGTAGTAGTTAGAACATAGTTGAAAGATGCCCGAGGGAAAAAGAGCCCGGCATGAGGACACGAAGTGCCGAGTGCGGCTCTTTTGTCCGAGGCCATCTTCAACTATGTTCTAACTGTTGAAGAGTATATTTTTGCTTTTTCTGAGGGAAAGATGCCAGAAAATTGTGAAAGAGCCCGGAAAAGTGCGCCAAACTATGCAAATGATTTCTTTTTTCATTCATGCCTTCTAATATTTAATTTTTCATTCATGCCTTGTCTTGAAAGAACATGTGTGAAAGAGCAAAATCATACTCTTCTGATAGAGGATTTTCGTTTCATGCTTAGGAGGTGAAAAAAAATCAAGAGCACTCTTCAAAGTTGCATTGTCGCCGAATCCACAAATGAATTTCTTCTGTTATCTTTTCGAAATTTTATTGCTGTTTTTGAATCCAGAATCTAACATTTGAAACATGGTTGGGCTGTGAATTATATGCTCATGTATTTGAATATTTGGCAATTTATTGTTCCGATATTCGAAAAAATTGGAATATTGATGCTCGGTGTGTTTTTTTTTTCAATTTTCGACGATCAAATTTTTAACAAAAAGTTTCTTAGTCCATTGAAGATATCGACTTTTTGAGTTCAAATATTAAAAGATATTTTACTTCCGATCAGTTTTTGTTAAGTTCTGGTGGTTTGAAAGACTCCAAATTGGCCATGTTCTGGACTAATTTATTGCGCTCTGAAGAACTTGTTCATAAAGCTGAAAGCGTAACGCGAATTGTTCATGCGTGGCAAATTATCCTCGCAACAAAATTGTTCCAAATTGAATTGAGGTTAAATGGTCATATTATAATTTTGTACGATTCAAAATTTTACACTTTCATTTTGTCCAAATTTTGTAGGTTTTCAATTTTTTGTTTTCCCAAAAACTATTCGGTATGACTTAAAGGACTGTAGGAACATTCAAGGCTTTGCCTTGATATTTAAGCAGTCTTACCTAGTCGATCAAAAGTGGTTATCTTGCAAAATTTTTGCAAGATATTGCAAGATAGTGTTCTTTAAAAATAACCTTTTCAAAGCAATATTTTAAAGACTATAAATTTTCTGGGGAAAAGCATACATGCGAAGACAGCCCCGTACTGGAAAGAACTAACTAATAAAAACAAATCAACAAAAAACAATTATTTTCCCATAATAAAATGAACTTAATTACAACTTACGAACCAATTAATTGAACACAATATACAAAATATCTCAATCTTATTGACTCTAATTTTTAAAATTGCGACCTAATTAACAAAAAATTGAATTTTAACCGCTAGGGTTGCACAATTTAACGAGTTGTTCCAATTTAAACGAAAAAACAAATTCTTGAAAATCCTACTTCGAAATGTATAAATTATGACAACCTAACACTTTTTTTTTCATTATGAAAGCAGAAAAATTAGCATATATATGAATTTTTTTTAAATTAAATCAACCAAATTGGAACTCCATAGTGTATTTCTGGCTCTCAGAATAAATTCGCGGGAAAAATGTTCTCAGCAGGCTATCTTGCAAGATCTTGCAAGAATCTTGCAAGATTGGGCTCTTTTCCAGTTCCCCCCCCTTTGTTAAATTACAAAAAGAGATGTTCAAAAATTGTTCACACGGCAATTTTCATGTTAGAAATGTTGTCAAAAATTTGTTCAGCTGTTCACGCTGACACGTTTTAATGCAGTTTATAGCATTAAAAATTATTTTAAAAAGACTTTCATGTAATGAATTTCAGAAAAAACGAAAGGGGGGAACTGGAAAAGAGCCCAAGATTGTTGCAAGATAATCCCCTCTTGCAAGATCTTGCAAGATAACTCGCGTTGGAGTTCCATGAATAAAATTTGGTTATAATTGAGTTTCCTTGTCAGTGTCCATAAAAAATTAAATCAATTATAATCAATCGATTGTAATATTACTATTTTTCGAGGCAACAAAATCTTTTTTTCATCTATTACAATCGATTTTGTTTCATTTTTGTGGACACTGACAATGAAAATAAATAATAATCAACTTTTCCATTTTTCTGAGATGCGAATTTCAACGCACAAAAAGTTTTTTTACGTTTTAAACTAAGGTTGGTTATGTTGGTTACTTGTTGTTCAATTTAATTTTTTTTCTGCCTAACTTTGATATTTTTGCTACTTTTTTATGTTACTTGAAAACTGAATTTTGTTCCTTTTAAAAATTTTTTAAACTATTAGAAACTTTGGGGGGGGGGGTAATTTGGAGGTGGACTAACACCCCTTCTATTAAATCCCTTCCCCACCTAAGAATTTAGAACAACCCCGCCAACGTAACGTTTGGTCCACAGTTTGGGAGTGGGGGTTCAAGTGGAGGAGGGGGGTTTGGTTCAGATTAGGGCGGCGGTGGTGGTGGTTCCGGTGGGGGGGGGGGGGTTGGGATGGTGTTTCAAGTGAGGTGGGGGTATTCAGGTGGGGGCGGTGTTCAGGTGGGGGTGTTCAGGTGGGGGGGGGGAGTATTCAGGTTGGGGGGGGAGGTGATCAGGTTGGGTGTTCAGGTGGGGTGTTCAGGTGGGGGAGGTGTTCAGGTGATGGTGTTCAGGTGGGGGGGGGGGGGGTCCAGTGGAAAGGGGGTTAAGTGGGGGGGGGGAGCAAAAGGGCAAACGTTAGGGGGATTGAAGGGAAGCAAAGGGGCAAACGTTAGGGGGGGAGCTTAACGGGAATCTTTTTGCAATTTGAGTTTAGGTTTAGAAATGGATTAGGCCGTACACTCGCTTTGCAAAGTTTCCGCATATTTCACTTAATAAATGCAGAAACTCTTGCAAAATTTTGCACGACGCGCGAAACAAACATAAAGTGCAAAAAAAATCCATTTTAATGTGATTTCCTACTTATTTTAAAATACATTATAATGGATTCTAAATGAAATATAATGCATTTTGTTTTGGCGAGAAAAAATGGATTTAAATCCATTTTTAGTCCAATTTTGTTGTCTGAATATAACATGGGAATCGATTATATTTACAACACTTAAGACCGCGAAAACTCATTATAGTTTATTTGTTTTAATTTTTCTTAAAAGCGGGAACTGTAATTTGCAAGAATATTTAAAGATCTTGCGAGATAACCCTCCTTAATCGACTAGGATTGTTGATCTTTTTGCTAATTCGGGCTCCCCAGACATAAAACAGCATATTATAAAGTTTTATTAAGAGCTTATTGTTTGTGAACTCCAAAACCAGTACAGGATTCGAACTTCATTTCTAATTTCTGCGTTTTTAAAAGGTTGTCTCCCGGACTTATTAGACGTACATGCACAAACTTTGTGAGGGTATAAAAGGTACACCAGTTTGACTTCGTAATGAACTAACTTCTAGTTGGGCGATACAAACTAAAGTATATACTGTTTTTCAACTAGGATAATTTGACCAACTAGTGCATAATTGTTCCGACTTTCGATACGAAAGTAACGGAATATTTGTGCTCGGGGTGGGTTTTTTTTTCTTCAGACAAATTTCGACTTTTTAACTAGCCAATTTTGACGGAATTTTTTTATATCATTCAAAAGGTATTGTTGCCCTGAGCTTAAAATTGAAAAGATATTTCACCTGTAATCATTTTTCGTAAAGTTATGAGAGTTTAAAGATTGCCATTTTGGCCATTTTGACTAATTTGGGACAATTAACGCGCAATATAATTCGCGCTATTAACGCGTAAGCGGAGATTTAATCCGTCTTATAAATCGTTCCAAATTGGTTTAACGAAGCTTATTTGCCATAACTGATTTGTTACAAGGAACGAAATCTATCTTTTTGTACTTTATATGGCGTGTGGGGGGATGATTTTCATAAAACATTTCAAATTTTAGAAAAAATAATTTCATTTTATTTTATTTCATTTAATTTTTTCATGTATTACTGCTGCTCAATAAACCTTAAAAGGCAGTCGGAACATTCAGGGCTTCGCCCTGATACGAGCAGTCTTGTTTGCATTACAATTCATCTCATTAAAAACACTCGCTCAAAAAGACAGGCTACAAAACTTGTGCATGTATCTTGAGGTAGTGTGTTCGAAACTATGCACTTGTAGCTTGAAGTAAACTCCAACTGTGCAAAACTTTCTGCATATGCTTTTTTAAGGTAGCGTTAAAAAGATACTTTTTTATAAGTCTTAGTGCGAAAAAAAAATTTGTCGAAATTTTTAATCCGCTGGATCATAAAACTTTCATTGGAAAAATTGGTTGATTTGTGTGTTTTTTTTTAATAATGTCTAATGGTTTTTTACATGAAAAAGTATAAGGCCAAACTGTGCACGGGATAGGCGCATAGTTTCATGTGTGTAGGTCTCTGGAATCAAGAGACATGTCTTTAAACCTGTTAAAATTTGTCGGAACGATCAAAGAAAACGAAAGAACAAACAAGACTGCTCGTATCAGGGCGAAGCCCTGAATGTTCCGACTGCCTTTTAAGGTTTATGGAGCAGTAATAACATTAAAAATTCAATGAAACAAAACAAAATGAAAAAAAAAACTTTTTCTAAAATTTGAATTTTTTTAATGAAAATCATCCCCCCACACGCCATATAATTACAAAAGGATAGATTTCGCTCCTTGTAACGAACCAATTATGGCAAATAAGCTTCTTTTAACCAATTTGGAACGATTTCTAAGACGGTTTAAATCTCCACTTACGCGTTAATAGCGCGAAATATATCGCGCGATAATTGTCCCAAATTGGCCAAAATGGCAATCTTTAAACCCCCATAACTTAACAAAAAATGATCACAGGTGTAACATATTTTCAAATTTGAGCTCAAGAACACAACACCTTTCGA